CCTATTAACATGTCTAATATTCTTGTCTCTCCTGACTTAGTTACCAATCTTGTCTATACTAATCGCCTTGCTCGTGAGAATCCTATTACTGTTGAATAAAGAACATAAAACCAAAAAAATAAATAAAGAAAACCCAAAACAAAGCGAAAAGCACAAAAAAAGAAGAAACCCGAAAAAAATGAAACTATGCAGCGAGTGAGCGGTACATCTCTTCTCCTGAGCGAGGCGGAGAACGAAAGAAAAACAATCGAAACAGGACGGTCCAGTAATACATAGAGGGAAGATAGTTTCAGACGAGACTAACTCGCAGAAGCTATATCTCGCTTATAACAAGATGATAGTTCCCCTTGCCTGTAGCATGGCGCAACCGGGTCGGTCTGTAACTATAACAATGTGTATGAATTTCTCTCTCTCTCTCTCTCTCTCTCTCTCTCTCTCTATGTACGATTTTTCACTGTTTTATGCCGGTTTTTTCTATCCAATTTTCACTGTTTGGGGTTCGGTTTTCCTGGTGTATTTCTTATTTTTCTCTTTTTCTTATGATTGTTCTTTTTTATTTCTTCACTGGTTTTGTTTCATTTCTCTCTTGCTTCTTTTTTTAACTTTGTTTGTTTGTTAGACTTATCTGGTTTTACTTTGTTCTTCTTTACATCTCTGTTTTGTTTGTTTGTTTGTCGGTTTCTTCATTATCTTCGCCTTTCTTCTTGTTTGTTTGTCGGTGTTCACTGTTTTCTTCTTTCTTACTTTTGCCTATGGTTTCCTTTGTTTCTTCGTCAGTGCTCATCATTTCTTTTTCTTAATTTTTATTTGTTTCTTTCTTGGTTTAGCTATTTTTCAAATACGGATTGTACAAATTTTCTTCAATACAAGTTTTGTACACTTTTTTGAATCCATAGTCAATATTTTTTTGAATAAACATATTTCTACAGACAATGTACATTTTTTGTATACCGGGAAAAATTGAATATACACGCTTGACATTTTTTAAATACAGATTGATTTACATATATTTTTATCTCTACTTTCATTTAATTTCTGTTCTACATTTTTCATATACATCAGGAGTTTTTCTTTATATATGTTTATCATTTTTCAAATACATAATCAACATTTTTTCATACACACTGAATTTTTTGTATACATATTCCGTATACATGAGGAACATTGTTTCTACAAATTTTAAAAAAAATTCACATCCTTGATTAAAATATTAAAATATATGATCAAAATTTTTTCATACACATTGTGTATTTTTTATACAATTTTCATATACATGAGAACATTTTTTTTCTATATAGTTTCACATTTTTCAAATGCTTGATAGTTTTCTTTAAAATGCTTGATGAAATTTTTTCAAATACTTGATTAACATTTTCTAAAATACATAACAATGTTTTTCATACACATTGTATACATTTTTTGTATACACGAGGGAAAAAATTCTATACAAATTTAACATTTTTAAAATGATTGCTTAGCATTTTTAAATTGTTTCAATAAAAGTGCATTTTGTAATATTTGGAAACATAAACAGAAAAAAAAGTAGAAACAAAAAAAAGAATAAAAACGAAAAAATGAGGCTCTGGCCTCGCGCACTGGGTAGGCCGAGGTTCCTATTCCGCAAACGGTCGCCTAGAAGCACTCCCGCGTTGGGCTGGCCAAATTACCTTCCTTTTTCTGTTTTAAAACTCCAAAAAGGAGTGTGCGAAAGTGCGCGCAACCGGAATCGAACCGGCGATCTCATGGTTGACAACTAACTCCACTAACCCACTTTCTTATTTTTCTACATACAGGAAATGCCCCCTATGTTTTATGTGTTTTTTCCTTTTCTTTTTTGTTTCTTGTTTCTTTTTTTTTCCAAAATGTGTGAACTTTTTTCAAATGGATGATTTTTTCAAATTCAATGAACTTTATTTTAAAATTTGATGTACTTTTTAAAAAATATGATGAATTTTTTCTTTCAAATTCGATGAACATTTTCAAAATTTGATGAACTCTTTTCAAAATCGATGACCTTTTTTAAAATCTATCTGCTGTCTTGGAAGCATAGTTTTAAATAGCCGGTTATAGCCCCGCTATAGCTCCGCTATAACTGTTTGAGGGTGTTGCCGCTACATGATTTCATGTATAATTTGCGGCTATAGCCCAGCTATAGCTGTTTTTAAGGGTCGCCGCTAAATGCCATAGCCCGCTATTTAAAACATTGCTTGGAAGTACTTGCGGCTACAAGCATATAACTTTTCAATTGCATCCCCCAATATTTCTATACATTTTTTGTTCATTTTGCATTCATATGTTTCTTAGTGTCCAAGCAAGGAAGATGCATGAACACATTGTGTCTCCAACCGATTTAGATCATAGGAAACTATGGCACAATGCACTACAGAATTTTCTTGTTAGAGATCACTGAAAATATTTGATCTCACCTATGGTAATGCCTTTCGGTTAAACTAGGAATTATTTCATCATTGAAAGCTTTCATCTGCATATATGGTCGTAATGGGTTGTGTACTTATTTTCCTTCATTGATGGTTTTGGTCTATTTACATGCACTGGATCAACAATGACAATGAGGTAAAAAAAAGCCATCATTTGCCTTATATAAGGTTTTTGCTCGATCGAATGCGAGGTGGCCATGGAAAATTGTGGGCAAATGTGCAACGTTTGTGATTTAGCGATGATTCTTTGAAATTGGGGAAATCGATCCTCAACATTGAATAATTTCTTGATAGTATGATTAGTGATTTTGGGACAAACGTTGTTGATCCGTCATCTAGACATCGAGGAGAAGAGGCTCCAACTTAAGTCAAAGATGGAGTCACATAGGCTCCAAACTAAGGCGAACCGGGTGAGAGATGACAGCCTAATAACCCATAATCAGTTCATCGCGGTAGATCTGAGCACAAAGGATCTAGTGGCTCGAGAGTTTTGGGCGAAGGCGCGGGATATCATCATATGTTCCAGGAACCTCGAAGCAGAGCACAATGCACAAGCCGGAGGAGGAGGGACAATGCACATGATAGTGGCATGTGATTTCGCCATGTTGCCGGTTAATGCTTTGTTCATGCAACCTGTCAAAAACTATGTTCATTATTGCTTGTGAAATGTTTAGTTTTGGAGGGAATCGAGGTCTTTGAATTAAAAGCAAAATCTTTTTTGTGGAGACTGTAACTTCAAATCATATATGTATGACTCATATATCTCAACCAAGCATTTCACTTTTAAGACTAGGAACCCCACGCAAGTAACATCTAGATTAAGGCCTCATCTCGAATGCAAGAACTCAAAAAATCGGAGTAATTGAGATGCCATGTCCTAAATTCCTACATGAATCCAAAACAGAGGAATACTCCAAACCTGTTTTTTATACCGCATAGGGAAAATCTAGTAATTCTAGATTTCAAAGATAAGAAACCATGAAGTGGCTGCATTAGATTGATACATTGGTAACAAATAGGGTCCTTAAAAAAATTAGTAGTAGCGCTGCTAGAGGCATGAATGGTTCCATTGTGTTGGAGGTCGGAGTATGTCCTTTTGTGACTACTTTGATTTATACATTGCAATCATCCAAAGTATAGAGTTGACCGTGATGTGTGCAATAAACCAATTATTGGCAAGTGAGCACCGAGCAATATATTTGGTTTTAGTAGCAAACCAGCCACGAAAACTTTGAGAGAACTATGCAAACCACAAGAAATAGTGTGCTCCTGTCAGATTTGCCATGATCTTGTGGCCCAGTCCCAAGACTCTATGGACTAAGATTAGCTACTTTGCTTCTTTAGCTGCTCCAATTAGGAACCAATCCTCTGAGTGGTTTATCCTCTTAAAATCATTACTATTCATTCCGGGGGCAAGTGCAAACGGTATCAGATTTTAGAGAACACTTCACATCATAGCATGAAGCAGTTACTATTCACCTCCATGTCCTGGTCTTCCCAGTTGGCAGCTATACAATGCATCTTTGCTACCATAGTTGCTTTATAAAACCAATGTGTGCTATTATCAAGTGATCTCATTACTTTCTTTTAGTCTACCATAGCACCATGAAATGGGATATAAGTATCTATTAAATTGGTTCTAAATCAGTCACATATGCATGGTTTGAATACTCGGCTCACTCTCACCTTCTGCGCCATGGGCGTAACGGGTCATCTAGTATAGTAGTGCCTGAAGGAGATCGACAATTAAGCTAAACAGGCTAACGAGCTTCTCTATCTATATTAGGTAATGTCTCAAAAAAAAGGTATAGGGAGAACAAGTCTATGGATCCATGGCCACAACTTAATTAGCTAGCTCCTCCTTAATTGCCTGCCTATAAAATTGGACGTCTATACGAAAGTATAAGCAGTCAGGCATACATGCATGGGCTGCTATCTAGGTGTATATATAAGAAGGGGAACACCAGCTAGCCAATTCGCTCGCCTGCTGCAATGTACACCCACCCACTTGACCAAATCAACCGTCCATCCACTTCATCCATCATCGCCATGGCCATGTCGCTGCCTTAAACCTACATCTTGGCTCTTCTTGCCATCGTCGTCACCCCATGTGTCCAACCAGAATCAGAACCCAACCTGAGCGTGAAGGCTGGAAACCCAACGTCTGCGACCGCTTCGGCCCAATTTCAGTGCAGTCATTTGTGCCTAGCCAAGCTGGAGGCCAGGACGCCAAAGGTGAAGGACGTAATTGGAATGTCGGTCCAGGTGGGCGCCAAGGCGGCAGTGGAGGTGGCCGTCAAGAAACCCTCCACGTGCATCGCCGACTGCCTCGACGGCCTTGCCTCCACGTGGAGCGAAACAAGAAGCTTCCTACTCGCTCCCATTGCATGTCACTGAGTCATTATTCATGCAATATCAATATGAACCAGTAAGCAAAAATATGAAAAACGACGGAACAAATCACGGTGAAGGACATTCCGTTGATGCCCTTCGCCTTCGGCGTCCTGACATCCAGGTTGGTTATTAACAAATTTGGCTGAAGCGGTCGCCCTTGTAGCATTGATGGCGTCCAAGGTTCTGGTTCTGGTTTGGACACCAGGGGTGATGACGATGGCAAAAAGGTTTAAGGCAGCAACATGGCCATGTGTGGTGATGGATGAAATTGATGGGCGGATGATTTGGTCAGGTGGGTGGGTGTACATTGCATAGCGATCGAATTTTTTGAGTCAATTTGATTTTTTTAGGCAATTTTTCAGTCGATTTGATGATTAATATTTTTTTTGAGTCGACTTGATTATTAATATTTTTTTGAGTCGATTTGATTATTAATATTTTTTGAGTCGATTTGATGATTAATAAGGCGTGTAACATTTAGAGGCCCATCCATCTGCAGAGCCCATCGTAGAAGCCGTACAAGAGACACCCATTTGCCTGGCAAAAAAAAAAGTTGAGCATTTGGTAGATCCCGAGTTACCTCGCCGGCCACCCCGATGGCGCCGCCGCACCCAGCACCATCGCCGAATCTGCCGATCCCTTCGAACCCAAGATGAGCTCCTCGAGGAGATCTTCGTCCTTCTTCCCACGGCGGCAGACCTAGCCCGCGCCTCCGCGGCGTGCCCCTCCTTCCGCCGTCTCATCACCGACCACGCCTTCCTCCGCCGCTACCGCGCCCTCCACCCGCCGCCTCTCATCGGCTTTGTCGACGACAACGCCTTCGTCCTGGCCCAGCCGCTGCACGCCTCCGCCATCGCCGCCCGCACCTTCGCCGGCTTCGACTTCTCCTGCTCCTCCTTCCTCCCATCCACCGCTGGCCGTACCTGGAGGGCGATTGACTTCTTGGACGGACGCGCCCTCCTCACCGCCGCCCAGTCCAAGACGAATGCGACAGCCCTGATGTGCGCGGCCTCCTGTACCACTTTTTCTTGGAGATGACTCATATTCGCTGACGTATTCCACCCTGATGAATAACCAATGGCACTTGGAGAAGGTCATCCCGTTGCCAGAAATGCATCATGTTATTCTGTTTGGTGTCGGCGGGGGATACCTGCTCATAGGAGTGGCACTAGAGGAGCTGAAGTTTGGGCTCTTTTCGGTGGACGTCAAGACGTTGCAGGTCAAGTTGTTCGCTGAGCTTAGCGATGTCTTCTTATGTGGTCGACTATATGCTGGTGGTTTCCCACCATCATTATGTGCACCAACCATATGAAGTGGTGAGCATGTTATCTGCTTAATTTTATTTAACTTGGTCTCAGTGTTACACAACAAACAAATATGATTCATGTATTTATTTCATGAACATTTGCTTTTTCCACTCTGCCTAGTTTGGTAGTTCATTACTCTTTAATATTCTTTGTGGGTATTTATGTGATTATATAATGCCTAACTTATTTGTGCAGTTGGAAGCTTAGCAAACTCGAAAAAACTGATAATATTTATTTGTTATCACCATTTTGAGTTATTGTACAAACAAATCAGAAGCTGATATTTTAGTAATCCAAAGTTCCCCTTGACCTTGAAATTTCTACTATAGGAGTTGGTCAAGTTCACATCATTTCCATTTTCCAGCTTCTACTTCTATTTATAACCTGTGTATGTGTATAAATCATGTAATTACAGCAGCCCCATGTATCTGCTCTGAACAGCAGTTCGAGCAGCTTGTTTTTATGTGATTACAATCCACTACAGATTACTCCATAAATTAGTAGTATAAAACACTGATAGTTTGCCTGGTAGCTTTACATATGCATATAGAGTGCCTGAAGTCAACTAAGTGGAACGGTTGATTTTGGTTTGTTTGTCGATTTTCTGTTGTTGAACTGCTTGTAAAACATAGGGTTTGGGAAACTGGCTCGACACCCTAAAACAGGGTGTGGCTATCTCATTATATAGACGTACCAAGAGGTACAATACAAGGCCTATACAGGACTACATATATACAGTCTAACACCCTCCCTCAATCTTAACTGTAGCCTGAAGTACAAAGTAAGTTAAGATTGCGCCTACAGCCTACAAACTGTGGTTGTGGAAGAGGCTTCGTGAAGATGTCAGCAAGTTGATCTTTGGAGGAGATGAACTTGATACAAAGCAGTCTCTGTGCAACACATTCCCGAACAAAGTGATAGTCAACCTCGATGTGTTTCGTCCTAGCATGAAACACCGGATTAGATGAAAGGTATGTAGCGCCGATGTTATCACACCACAGAACTGGAGGATGACCTGGAGAGACTCTCAGCTCTCGCAACAAACACTGTACCCATATGATCTCAGCGGTAGCATCAGCAACAGCTTTATACTCAGCTTCAGTACTGCTACGAGACACGGTGGCTTGCTTGCGTGCATTCCAGGCGATCAGGTTAGGACCAAAGAACACTGCATATCCCCCCGTGGATCGCCGATCATCAGGACTTCCAGCCCAATCCGCATCAGAGAAAGCCGAAAGTTCACAAGACGGTGCAGACTGAAGGAGCAGACCATACAAAGCAGTAGAAGAAATATATCACAGGATGCGCTTAACTGTCGAGAGATGAGTGGTACGAGGTGTATGCAGATACTGGCACACACGGTTGATTGCATAAGAGACATCAGGTCTGGTGATAGTGAGATATTGCAGACCACCAACAAGACTGCGATACTCAGTGGCGTCATCAGTGGAAAGAAGGTCTCCATCAAGGGCAGACAACCGATCAGTGGCAGACATCGGAGTGATAGCATGTTTGCATTTGAGCATCCCAGCACGGCCCAACAAATCCGTGGAGTACTTTTTCTGACTCAAAGTCAACCCAGTAGAGGACCGTGACACCTCCAATCCAAGAAAATAATGCAAAGCACCCAAATCCTTGACAACAAATTCCTCACCTAATGCAGACACAAGGCGATCGGCAGCAGCATTGGAGGAACTGACAAGGATGATATCATCAACATACACCAAGAGATACATCGTCACCTCAGGACGCTGAAGGAGAAACAGTGACGTGTCAGCAGTTGAGGGAATAAACCCAAGAGCCCGGAGAGAAGAACCAAGACGAGCATGCCATGCACGAGGCGCCTGTTTAAGTCCATACAACGCCTTGACCAGATGACAGAGAAGATGCGGACGCGTAGGATCAACAAAACCGGGTGGTTGACGCATATAAACCTCTTCCTCAAGAACTCCATGGAGGAAAGCATTCTGCACATCAAGCTGACGAAGCGACCAACCACGAGTAACGGCAAGAGACAGCAGTATACGAATAGTAGTAGGCTTGATAACTGGACTGAATGTGTCTTCATAATCAAGACCGTACCTCTGCTTGAAACCCTTGGCAACCAGCCGTGCCTTGTAGCACTCAATAGAACCATCTGCATGTCGTTTGACCTTAAACACCCACTTGGAGTCAATGATGTTGACGCCAGAGACCGAAGGAACAAGCTGCCAAGTACCATTTTTCAGCAAGGCCTGAAATTCCTGCTCCATCGCAGCACGCCAGTGAGGAATACCCAGTGCAGCCTGAAAATGACGCGGCTCTGCCGTGGGATCCGCAGCAGCATGAGCCACACATGCAGCAAGCCACGCCACCGTCCCGTCTTTGCGTTCCTTAGGGCAAAAAACACTAGACCGGCTGCATGTGTGTGGTCGATGATGAACCACAGCGGGCGGTGCTGGCACCACGGGGCTTGCCACAAGCGACGAAGGCGTCATGGCCGAGACGGGGCTGGAGGAGCCAGAGTCAGCAGACTCAGCACCGGGCGACGTTGCCAGGACGGGGCTGCCGAACCCAGGCGACGACGTAGCCGAGGCGGGGCTGGCCGGCGCAGCTTCCGTGGCTGCTGGGCCGCCTGCTGATGGGCCACCTACCACTGGGCCCGGCGAGGGCAGCGCCTGTGGCCTGGCGGGTGAGCTGGGTGACGGGCCGGGTAACCCGGGCGCTGGGGCGGGCGACCCGGGCGCTGGAGCGGGCGAGCCGGCCGACGGGGCGGCCGAGGCGGGTGCAGCCGCGGGCACTGCCGACGCCCGCGGGGCGGCTGTGGACGCGTCGGGCTGACGGGCATGACCCGCCATGCATGGGCCATGCATCGAATCAACGGGGCCATCATGCGTGTCATCCATAGCCTCATCATCCAGGAGTTCAAGGCGGGCACCGCGTCCAATACCTGCAGCATGGTTAGGAAGCAACACAGGAGCATTTGCAACATCCATAAATTGGTCAGGTGAAGGTGTAGTGGAGTGCACAGGTGGTAAACTAGAGGTAGAGTGGTTCGGAAGAGCATGAAACGGGAACACATTCTCATCAAACACGACGTCACGAGAAATGTAGACACGATTGGTGGGAACACGAAGACACTTGTACCCTTTGTGAAGAGAACTGTACCCCAGGAAAACACACTTCTTAGACCGAAACTCTAATTTGCGCTTGTTGTAAGGCCTCAAGTGCGGCCAACATGCGCACTCAAACACTTTGAGAAACGTGTAGTCTGGAATATCATCGAGCAAGAGTTCAAGAGGGGTTTTCATTTTTAGCATTCGTGAGGGAAGCCTATTCATCAAGAAACAGGGGTGGAGAAGGCATCACTCCAGAACCGAAACGGGACGGAGGCATGAGCTAGTAAAGTAAGTCCAGTCTCTACAAGATGACGATGCTTACGTTCAGCGGTGCCGTTTTGCTGATGTGTATGAGGACAAGACACACGATGTGAAATCCCAATCTTATTAAAAAACGAGTTGAGGTTGTGATATTCACCCCCCCCAATCGGATTGAGCATGAATAATCTTGTGCTTAAGGAGACGCTCAACATGTGCTTGGAACTGAATGAAAACATTAAACACATCAGATTTACACTTGATAAGATATAGCCAAGTAAACCGACTGTAAGCATCAATGAAACTGACATAGTAATTGTGACCACTAACAGATGTTTGGGCATGACCCCATACATCAGAAAACACAAGCTCAAGAGGATGTTTCACAACACGACTAGACTCTGAAAAAGGTAGTTGGTGACTCTTACCCTGCTGACAGGCATCACAAATAGTTTCAGCACTCTTATTGGACACAACTGGTAGTTCATGGCGATGCAGCACATGACTAACTATAGGAGCAACAGGATGTCCAAGGCGCGCATGCCAGTGCGTAGGCGACACACGAACACCACTGAACACCTGAGGAGAAGACGACGTGGGAGATGCAGACGGTGCGTCAAGTGCATATAAGCCATGGCGAAGACGACCACTAAGCAGAATGGCCCTCGTGTCCCGATCCTTGATAAAGAAACGAAAAGGGTGAAACTCAGCAAGGACATTATTATCACGAGTAAGTTGAGGAATAGACAACAAACTACGCGTAGCAGAGGGAACTCGAAGGACATTAGAAAGATGCAGTTTGCGAAAATTGTGTGCAAGAAGTGATGCCTGACCAACATGGGAGATGCGCATACCTGCTCCATTGGCGGTGTGCACCTGATCATGTCCACGGTACGGTTCCTGAACGGAGAGCTTGCCCATCTCGCTGGTGAGGTGATTCGTCGCTCCTGTATCCATGTACCATGCCGGATCAAGGGAGTATGACTGGGTGCGCCCGTGCTCGTGCCCTGTCACCGCAGCTGCAGCCTGCTTATCATTCCCTTTTCCATTGTTGCCAAGGCCAAGTCTTGCTTGTAGCGTCTGTGGCAGCGAGAGGCGAGGTGACGATCTATGCCACAAAGCTGACAAGCCTGAGGAGCATCACAACTGGAACAGCAAGCAACCGGGCGACTCCCTCCCGTGATGGTCGGTGCGTTGCCCCGCGAGGCCTGCGACGGGGAAGCCGGTGGTTTGCCACCTGATGGGGCCGGCTTCTGAGGTTTGCCGCGTGTGGCGGCGTTGGCGGAGACGAAGCTGGAGAAAACACGGCGCGCCTTGATGCGCTGCTCACGCCCAAAGAGGCGCGCATAGAGCTCACGACGCGGGAGTGTATCAT